ATTTATAAACTATCAAGGGCTCATGAGGGAGGGGGGAGCGGGGAGGGAGGGGAAAAATGAGGACCTAATGTCAGGGGTTTAAGTGGAGAGAAAATGTTTTGAGAATGATATACAAATGCGCTTTACACAATTGAAGTGTGTATGGATTGTGGTAACAGTTGTATGAGCCCCTAATGTTTTTTTTTTTAAAAAAGGAGCCCATTATATCAAAGTAGGTAAGAGGGGAAGACCATACATACCCCTTGGGGTAGGAAAATTAGGGGGAAGGGGAGGAGGTAGAAAGGAGAAGAATATGCCTCAAAAGGGGGAGAAGAGGTGTATCATTAAGGCAGCAAAATATTCTCTGTAAAAAGACGAGGGGGAAAAAAGAAAAAGAAAAAAAAAGACGAGGGGAGGGGTATACAAAGCCTCAGAGATGAAGGCAGAGGCTAAGGAACAGCATGCCTCCTCAGTGAGGAGGGGGCGGGGTCCTCTCCACTCAAGTGTCCAGAGGAAGGGAAATGGTAGGTTCTCTTCTTTCTCTGGGTCCTGGTCCTGGTCGAGCCACTCCAATGCCTGATCCTTCTCCCTTATCTAGACAAGGGTGCTGCAGGGCCCAGAAGGCAGAGATTCGGTTTTTGTGGGTTAAAAAATCAGCATTTCCAGCAGCTGTGCTCCGGACTCCTCTATCTCACGGACCACTGACTGCACCGGGAACGGCCCTCTGGGGGAAAAGGCTCCCTGGGGGAGAGAGACATCTCGGGGCCAGTCTTCCTCTGGGGGCAAGCCGATCAGATAAAAAATGTTGCCTAACAGGTCAGCTTCCGAGTTTCCACAGAAGAGAAGCTTCCGACGAAACATCTCTGGGAAGATACAGCCAACACTCCACATGTCCACGGGTGTTGCATATGCAGATTGCACAAGAACTTCAGGAGCCCTGTACCAGAGTGCAACCACCACAGGTGTAAGGGCCATCTGATAGCTGTAGATTCTGGCTAAGCCAGTCGGCCAGCTTGACCGTCCCATTGCTTGTCATCAGAATGTTCTCTGGCTTCAGGTCCCGATGAACGATGCAATTGGCATGCAGGAAATCAAGGCCTCTTAGAAACTGCCGCATTAAATCCTTGATGATCTCCACTGGCAAGCCTGGTGAGGGGGCTTTATCTAAGTACGTCCTTAGGTCTTGGTCCACATGTTCAAGCACCAGCGTCACCTTGGTTTCCCAGTCAGTTCGGGCTGTGGCACAGACGTCCATCAGCCGGACAACACTGGGATGGTCGAACGCCTCCAGCCGTCTCAGTAGGGCCACCTCCCGAACAGTGCTGATAGGAAGGCCGCAGCCAGTGCCTTCTCACACTCTTGCGGGCCACAAAGTGGCCACTGTGGGGCTCACGGGCCTTGTACACCGTGCCATAGGTGCCCACACCAATCTCGGCCACTGGCTCATAGCGAGAGGTAGCCATTCTCAGATCAGAGGAGACCCTCAGTCCAGAGCGAGAGCTGGGGGGCCGCCCGTTTCGGGCCTTCGGAGTCAAGTCCCGAGGCGCCATACACCCCTGCGCGGTCCCCACAGCTGGACGCGGAGGGCCTGACCATAGACGCAGGCCGCCAGCTAGAGCGGCCCCCTCACCCCCATCCTCAATCGCTGCCTTCTTACAGTTGATAATTTTTTTATTTCAAGCAAAACTCATACTGAGCAGTCTTCTAGGTGCTCAAATATTTCACTTTCTATACATTAAAATAATTTTTTAATTGTAGAGGGATTATAAGTTCTTGAATCACATACTCAAAAATATCAAGCTTTTTACAAACCAGGGCATATAATGTATATTTTTGGAAAAAGATGACTTACGGCATATTTTAACTCAATATCAAAAGTCTATCTAAATGTTCTGCTTTCATTTATAAAATAAGTTATTATGCTTTCTCCAACTAAGAAACTTTTCTGTTGTTGTTGAAACTTTAAAAATAATCAATAGATACCTTTCCTTTACTGGAGTATAGCTATAATTTAAACTACATTCGAATTCTTGAATTTTGCATGATGTGTCTGATTTTACATACTAAAAATGTTTTCTAAATTAGATCTATTTTAGAAGAAAAACAAAAACTAAGATAAATGTGATAACAATTGCAGTGCTACCAAATTATTGGGTTAGCCTTTGGTATACTTTGATTTCTCTTACCTTGTGTTTTTTCCCAGGTTCTCTCTCAATATTTTGTCTATCTTTCTTATCAGGAAATAGGAATTCCTCATCTCCTTCAACAAATGCATATGGATCAATTTTAGGTTCTTGCTCTGCATCTGATGCTATTGCTGAAAGATACTGATTTTTAATTTGATATTGCTGCACTAGTTCATCAGAAACTTTTAAAGGTTTCTTACATTGCACCATTAACCTGCATAAAAATACAAAATGAGAAAATTCATTATTCATTGGGCATAAAAAAAGTCAAGAAATGACTTAATAATCATGAAGTTATTAGAACTATTTAGAAGTTCTTTAACCTGAAATTTCTAATTCTACAAAGAATCTAAGTCACAGAAAAGTTTACCTAAGTCACACTTTAGGACAGGAGAAATGGAACGTAAATGCAGTCTATTTTCTATATGCTTTTCCCACCAAAGTTTGCTCTTTTGGAAATCCACTGTGCTCTCGAGTCCTCAGTCATACTCTTTGTGCATAACCATTTAGTAGATGGGCCTCTTTAGAACAGTGTATATTAGGATGAGTATCTTGAATGACTGATGTTAATATTCATAGAAGGAAAGTGATTGGTCTTGTCTTACAATCATGATCACATATTTGAAGTTAAAAAAGTTTTTAAAGACTGGCTTGTGTTTGTTTCGGGACTCAAAGGGACCCCTATAGGACAGAGAAAAACTGCTCCTGTGGGTTTCCAAGAGTAAATATGGGAGCAGAGCACCTATCTTTCTCCCTCAGTGAGTGGCTGGCGGTTTTAACCATGTGGGTTGCAGGCCAACTGGTAACGCACTATGCCACCAGGATTATGAATCATAATCAACTCAATGGCAGTGAGTTTGGCTTTCAGTTTGGTGTTCCAAGAAAGTATTAATTTTGGCAAGAGGTTTTACAATAGCAAAGTGAAGTCAGTGCCAAGTCTCTTAAAGTTCTTCTTCTAATCACATCAGAAAATTTATTTTTTATATTATCAGCTTTCTAGTTCAACCTGGAATCTAAACATGTGTTTCTACTTTCTCCAAAAATAAGATGACAAAAGAGGGAAGAACAAGAGAGAAAACACCAGTGAAGAAAAAAGATGAATGAGCAGAAACTGACTTTACCCGGAGAAAGCTGAAGCATAAAGCTGAGGGATACCAAACCAACAAGCACGAGCACCAAACAAAACAAAAACACCCAAACTCGTTGCTTAAGAAAGAAGGGACCCGTAGAGGGTTTCAAGTTGTAAATCTTTTCAGAAGTACACTGCTACACCTTTCTCCTGTAAAGCAGTAGGGGTCAAACCATTACTTAGCAGCTGAACACTTAACTACTGGGCCACCAGGGATCCTCTGCTATTGATCAGAGAACCCTGGAAATGATCAGGTCTTTGATTCCTCTGAAGATCTGGGTGCTTGATGAGAGTGAATACAGAGTGATTAGTATTCCTGTTTGTAAAGCTGATTTAACTAAACTGCTACAGTAGCAGTCAGGCTTCTTCCTCAGATTATATTCAAAATCCTGCAATGGCTAATTCACTGAGTGAAAACCTTTCTTGTACCCTATAGGATGATCTGGCTCCTTTTTTTCCTCTCCATCTTTATCACGTAACTATTCTACTCCTCTCCTCATTCATATTTCTTCCAAGGGCCTTCTGATGTTCCTCAAAGAGGTCAACAAACTTCTGGACAATGAGTAAGAAAGATCACAGAAGAACTGATGCATTTGAATTATGGTCTAGGCGAAGAAGAATGGACATCATGGACTGCCAGAAAAACAAACAAATATGTCTTGGAAGAAGTACATCTAGAATGCTTTTTAGAAGCATGAAGGTGAGCCTTCATCTCAGGTTCTTGGAACATGCTCTCGGTAGAGCAGTGGGTCAGTGAAAAGGTGGAAGTCCTCAAGGAGAGTGACACAGTGGCTGGCAACAATGGACTCAAACACAACAACTGTGAGGATGGCAGAGGTCCGGTGTTTCGTTTTGTTGGACATAGCCCCCTATGAGTCAGAATGGACTCAAAGGCACGCAACAACAAATTCTATTGGAAACAGGGATATAATTTTTATTCATTTATTCGCTTCTGCCTGGCACTAGAAGGTACTTTATAAGGATGATAACACAGGGCATCAAAAGTAGTTATTTTTCAAAACATGACATTAAAAAAACAAACAGAAAAACCCACATGACATTACGTGCTCAAAATTAAATCATTATAATCCTCAATATGTCTAATCTCTAAACTACAATCCTAACTCTACAGAAATGTTCCATAGGAACACAGAGCTAATAAACCACCAATGTGTATTCTTCACAATGAATTATATTAGTTCTGTTTTATAAACACAACATTTACTTCTAAAACTTGCTTTAGGACTTTAGTAACTGAATTGTCTATCTAATGTTCACTAAAATAATTTTTTAAATAGTATCTACTTTGATATACACTTTCTAATTTAAGACCTATAATAACCATATAAGGTAGGAAAGTGTATTCTCTTCGATGTGATGCAGAAATTATCTAGAAGCAAACAGTTTGCTGAGGTTACACAGTAGCAGAGTTAGAGCTGGAAAGACATTAAGGTTTTAAGAATACATGTTGAAGGAAGAGATGAGCCAGAGAGGGTGCAGTATAGCACCGATGAAGCACACAACTTCCCTCTACTTCTTTAATGCTTCTTCCCCCCACTATCATGACCACAATTCTGCCTTACAAATCCGGCTAGACCAGAGGATGTACACTGGTACAGGTAACAGCTGGAAACACAGGGAATCCAGGACAGATAACCATTCAGGACTATTAATGAGTTGCGATACCAGGAGGGTAAGGGGAAGATAGGGTAGAAAGGGGGAACCCATCACAAGGATCTACATATAACCCCCTGCCTGGGGGTGGACAACAGAAAAGTGGGTGAAGGGGGACATCAGACAATGTAAGACATGAAAAAAACAATTTATAAATTACCAAGGGTTTATGAGGAAAGGAGGGTGAGGAAGGGAGGACAAAAATGAGGAGCTGGTACCAAGGGCTCAAGTAGAAAGAAAATGTTTTGAGAATGATGATGGCAACAAATGTATAGATGTGCTTGACACAATGGATATATGTAGGGATTGTGTTAGAGCTGTAAGAGCCCCCACTAAAATGATTTTTTTTTAATGTAAGGAAAATTTTAAAAATTTATAATTTATCAAGGGGTCACAAGGGTGGGGGGGGAGGGAGAAAAGAGGAGCTTATACTAAGGGCTCAAGTAGAAAGTAAATGTTTAGAAAATAATGGCAACATATGTACAAATATGCTTGAAAAATTGATGTATGGATTGTCAAAAGAGCTGTAAGAGCCCCCAATAAAATGCCCTATTGATTAAAAAAATAATGTGAACTATCAAAATGCAAAAAAAAAAATCATGTTTAAATAATTAATCATGGGGGGGGGAGAGGTAAAAACAGCCTCCTTTCCACCACCCTGAAATAAACTACTACTCTTTATAGGAGTAAATAAAACTGGTTTTCATGTTAAATTGTTTTCTGTAAGAAAGCATAAAAACTGCCACATGGTTCGCTAAGTCATTGCTAACCTATTGTGCAGTAATATTAAAAGGGCCATTCCTAGTGCCAAGGGCTCTATAAGAAATGAGTGACATGAAAAAAGTGGGTGAAGGGAGATATTGGGCAGTGTAAGACAAAAAAATCATTTTAGTGGGGGCTCTTACAGCTCTAACACAATCCCTACATATATCCATTGTGTCAAGCACATCTATACATTTGTTGCCAGTGTAAGACATGACAAAATAATAATAATTTATAAATGATCAAGGATTCATGATGGGCGGGGTGGGGAGGTAGGGGAAAAAAGAGGAGCTGATACCAAGGGCTCAAGTAGAAAACGAATGTTTTGAGAATGATGATGGCAACAAATGTACAAATGTGCTTGACACAATGGATATATGGATTGTGACTAAGAGTTGTACGAGCCCTCAACAAAATTATTTTAAAAAAAGAAGAGTAAACCAATGTACTACCTAAAAATAAACTTATTTTACTGAACTGTTCTCAAACACATTGGCATATGCAAAGAATTTAAATGTAGTCAAGATCAAGTCACAATGAATAAAAAGTATGAACTATAATACACATACTTCTATATTTAAAGCTGATTAAAAGAGTGATTTTTAAGAGATGCCCGATTCAATTTATCATTTCAATACTATTCCAATTCTATATCACATATACAATATTTTGTGTGAATAGGAACATCTCTCCTTTACTAAAAGGAGCTTTCACTTATAGCCACTTAGGCAACTGCATAGGTACCATTTAAATTAGATATAAAACTAATCACAGTACAGTCAAAGAACAATAAGTACTACAGCCATGAACAGGAAGCTATGCCAAGTTCAAAGCAAATTTAAACTATGTTTATGTTGTTACCTTGTTCCTTTTCCCTGTGACTGCAATCCTGAAATGTACATGGAAACTTTAATATACCACATATACTCGAGTATGAGCCAACCTGAATATCTGCTGAGGCACCTAATTTTACCCCCAAAACTGCATTAAAAATGTGCTGGGGGAAAAAAAAAACGGCTTATGCCTGAGTATATACAGTAGTCTATGGTAGGTAACAAATGTTATTGTCTTTCCCAGAAAAGTCATTGCTAGTGAGTTGCTTCAAACTCACAGTGACCTAATAGGACAGAGTAGAAGTGCTCCTGTGGGTTTCTAAGAGTGCAAATCTTCAGGGGAGCAGAAAGCCTCTTCTTTCTACTAGTAGCCTTTACAAAGTAAAATTTTTCTAAAGGTGTAGTTAGTATTTTAAGATTGACAATTATACAAGGAAATAAGCTATAAAAGGAAATGTTAAAGATGTAAAAGATGCCCTCTATTTTTAATGGCCCTTTTCTAACACTATATCCAATATTTAAAATCCACCCTTAAATTGAGTTTAATCCGTCAAAAGTATAACTTTATTGCATTATATAACAAGCAATCAAATAAAGAAGACTGTTATTTATAATTAAGGATAGTCAAACCAGAGTTTATTTTATCATGGACTTCTACGAAATTAATTAAAATGTATCTTTTAGAGATCAAATCATACATTCCATAATTACGTATATACAAGAATAATCTGGTATGAAAGCTAGTTCTATTGATCAGTATCATGATGCAGATACCCTGATAACAGAATAAAGAATTATGATCAAGGACAGTTTGTT